CACCAAGCAAGCATGAGGCCCTGAGTTCAAATTCCAGTACCACAAAAAAAAAAAAAGCTGGTTGCTAGTGGCTCATGCCTATAGTCCTAGCTATGCTGGAGGCTGGAGGCTAAGATTCAAGGCCAACCAGAAAAATAGTTTGTGAGACCCAATCTCCAAAATAACCAGAGCAACATGGACTGGAGAGGTGGCTCAAGCAGTAGAGCACCTGCTCTGTGAGTGACCATGAATCCCTGAGTTCAAAACCTAGTCCCCCCCCCAAAAAAAATGGGCAAATGATCTGATCAGACACTTCTCAAAAGAAGTGCAAATGCCCAATATACATATGGAAAACTGTTCAACATCAGTCATCAGAGAAATGCAAATCAAAACTACATTGAGGTTCTATCCCAACCTAGCTAGAATAGCTACTATGAAAAAAAAAGAAAATATAATAAGTACTAAAACACTGGTAAGGATGTGCTGGGAAAGGAACCCTTATACACCAGTGGTGGGGATATAAATCAGTCCAGGTATTATGGAAATCAATACAGAGGTTCATCAAAAAACTGAAAATAAAACTACCAAATGGTCCTACTATACCACTCCTGGGTATATTCTCAAAGGAATGGAAGTCAGCATACAATAGAGATAGCTGCACATACATGTTTATAGCAGCACTATGTCTAATAACCAAGTTATGGAATCAGCCTAGGTGCCTGTCAACAATGAATGGACAATGAAAATTTTGAATATGTACATAATATAGTATTATTCAGCCATAAAGAAGGATGAAATCATGTCATTTGCAGGAGAATTGATGGAACTGAAGATCATCATGTTAAGTAAAATAAGCCAGACTCATAAAGACAAGTATTGTATGTTTTTTCTCACATGTGGAAACAGGAGAAGGAAGAGCAGTAGGAGAAGGATGAGGAGGTGGAAGAGAAGAAAGAGAAGAAGAAGATCTAAAAGAAGAAGGGGGATGTTAGGAAAAAGGAAAGGGACTGGGCGGAAGGAAAAGAGAGGAAGGCAAGAGGAGGAAAAGGGAAGATGGACATGATCAAAGCACCACATATGCATGTATGGAAATGTTACAGTGAAACCCATTAATTTGTATAATTAATATGTGTTAATTTTAATTCAAAAATCTTAAAATCTTGCTGTACACAATAAATATACATCATTTTTATTTAAAAATTTAATTTTTAAAAATCTCAAATCTGAGATTTTCTTTAGAAATGTTTTTCTGTTTTCAGTTTTCCCAGTTGAGAATTCTGTGTTGGCCTTCTGCTTCTTATTACTGTCAAGGACAAGAAGGCATCTTCTTCAGCTAATGAGAGATACTCACTGAGTGACAAAAGCCTCCCCATGAAGATAGAGTTTCAGCCTCACTGCCCCATGGGATTCCCCAAAAAAGACTGCAGAAGATCTCTAAGAATATTCTAATTCATGTGGGGCAAATGTATTATGATAGCCCCTTCACATTCTTTTTTTTTCTTTTATTATTCATATGTGCATACAAGGCTTGGGTCATTTCTCCACCCTGCCCCCACCCCCTCCCTTACCACCCACTCCGCCCCCTCCCTTTCCCCCCTACCCCCTCAATACCCAGCAGAAACTATTTTGCCCTTATTTCTAATTTTGTTGTAGAGAGAGTATAAGCTATAATAGGAAGGAGCAAGGGTTTTTGCTGGTTGAGATAAGGATAGCTATACAGGGCATTGATTCACATTGATTTCCTGTGCGTGTGTGTTACCTTCTAGGTTAATTCTTTTTGATCTCACCTTTTCTCTAGTTCCTGGTCCCCTTTTCCTATTGGCCTCAGTTGCTTTTAAGGTATCTGCTTTAGTTTCTCTGCGTTGAGGGCAACAAATGCTAGCTAATTTTTTAGGTGTCTTACCTATCCTCACCCCTCCCTTGTGTGATCTCGCTTTTATCATGTGCTCAAAGTCCAATCCCATTGTTATGTTTGCCCTTGATCTAATGTCCACATATGAGGGAGAACATACGATTTTTGGTCTTTTAGCCCCTTCACATTCTAGTTCGGTTTTACTCTAGCATATGTTACATAAGAAAAGAAGACGGTTCCAAGACAACACTATGGAGATAGTCACAGAAAAAAATTTCCAGGGTCTAAAAAAGTTTATAGATCTTTCTCAAAATACTAATGGGCTCCCAGACACTCAGTCATGAGGCCTTTGAAGACCAGTGATGAAATGAAACTTCACTGATGAGTGCATTCCAAAGGGCAAAATGACATCTGTTTTGTTTCTCGTCTTTTTGAAATTATTTTTAAATGAATAAACATATCAATGACATATACATGTAGATAAAGTGAACTGGTGTCTGAATCTTTCTTACAAGAGCCTTGAGTTGAAAATCCAAAGCATGTGTGTTCTGAGCACAAAGATCTCAGGACATTTGAGCTCACACTTTTGGCTGCATTTAACAGAGGGCAATGACCACAGGAAGAAGACAATGATCCATGTTGCAGGTTTCTCGAGGCACCTTTTCAAACTAGTCACATATTAGCTCTTAATTCTGTAGAAAGAGCCTTGGGGCTCTTTCATCACATTCAGGGTCCAAGAAAAGACATCTCTGTCAGAGTCATGGAGTGACAATGTAGAAAAGCTCTTTGTTGACAAGAAGCCAAATGGTGAATTCTTGTCTTCAACAACTCTGATAAGTGGCACCAGCTTCTTTTTTAAATTACATCCAGGAAGTGGGAGCTCCTTGCCACCTAGAGCAGATAATTTCCATATTTGAACAGTTAAAATTTTCCAGAAGTGCTTTTGATACTTGAGGCACAGTCAGACACTGGAGCTAAAAATCCTAGCTTTCTGGGTGGCAAAGGTCTCCATCTCTGAGTGTGGAAAAACACTAAGAAATTAGGCTAAACAGCTATTCTGGCTTATCAAAGACTGTCCTAAGTTTAGCATTGAAACTCTGTGTCCCCGGAAACCCATGTGAAATATGCCATAAGGCTAAAAATCATAGGCTTCCTAGTCACACTGTACCTGAGTTAGAGCCTCAGCTTTACCATTTAACCTGTTGCATGGCTTTAGGCAAATAAAATTTTCATGTCTCCGTTTCCTTGTCTAGAAAATGAGAATAACAATACCAATCTTACAGAGTTGATGTAAGAACTAAATAAGTAATATATAAGAAAAGCTTATCAGAGAGCCTTACACATAGTGAGAGGTTATAAATGCTAGTTAGTATATCCATAAGGAGTATACTCTAACATACATTGCCAAAATTTTCCTTCCCTACAACTTCCAATTACAGTCTTTCTTCCATCCTTTGAATCTCTGCAGAACAAGTTTGCTTCCAGAAGTATTTGAAGGCAGCAGCATATTCCACACCACCCCCTTTCTACTGCCAACCTGCACCACGCCAGTCCTCTTTTCCAGACTAAACATTCCTGGTGCTTTTGACTATTGCTCAAATGACATGATTTCCAGAACTTTGACCCTCTTATTAACCTTCTCCTAGATATCTCTCTTTCTCTCTCTGAAAGTGCAGTCCAAGAACTGAGCAAACTCCCTTGATGCTGTCTAACCAGTGTGAGGAAACTTGGACAATTACCTCGTTTCTTCTGGATTCTCTATTTCCATCACATGACCTCAGGTCACATTAGCTTTTTGGCAGCCTTAACCAAATTGACTTATGCTAAGCTGACAGTTAGCTAATACTCCTGAGCCTTTCTCTTTCTCTTATAAACTATTAAGCAAGGTCTCTCTTGTTCTTGTTTCAGCTGTTTCTTTGAACACAAAAGCAAGAGTCTAAATTACTCCTTATCAGTTTTATCATGCTGGTTTCAGTATATCCTTCTAGGTTGTTGAGAATTTTATGGTTCCTTAGCCTGTCAGCCAAGAGATTACTTTTCTCAATTTTGATTCATCTTCAAATTTGATAAGAATGCTTCAAACTGTTGATTTTAAAACACTGGACAATTTAGGACTAAGAATAGAACCATTCAAAATTTCTATAAAGGTTAAGTTTAGTTAATATTAATAGTTGCTACCATTTGCTCAGTAAATTCTTTGAGCCAGATACTGAGTTAGATATACTGCGAACATCATCTCATTTAACTACACACAATTCTTCAAGATGAATATGATTGTCCTCTTCTTACAAATGATAAACCTGAGACTCGGGAATGTCAAATCTTACTCAATGTCAGGTAGCTATTAAGTGTTATAGCTACATGCTGGTGCTAGGTTTATCTGATATCAAAGTTAAAACTCTTGGTACAGAGCCATTCTACTTTAGAAGGGGAGCTACCGAGTCCATGAAAAATATCATTAAGCAAAATCCCCAAGATTAGGTAAATCCCAACCATACCCATCCTGTCTGCCTCCCACTTTCCTGTGGCCCTCATCACAGCTGAGGATTGTAAACCATCCCCCTACCACTCACCTTTCTTCAGGATCCTGTCCTTTCCTGCCATGTTCTTCCCACCATATTCTTTAGTAAATTCACTTTTCAGAAAACTCTCTTACATTCTTACTCTCTTTCTACAATGCTTCTCTTTGCAACCCTTTCCATTAAGCTAAAACTGCAGGCATCAGTTCCCTCATCAACTTCTTTCATAGCGATACATTCATTCAATTGGCCGTTGATTTCACTGAATCTATACCCTGTGCTGGCTCTATGAAAGAATGAAAAATGGCATGGCCCTTGCCCTCACTAGAGCTTACATTATAAGGGAGGAGAAGACTACAAAAAAACTGCACAAATAAGTATACAATTACAAATCTGTTAAGAGCTACAAAAGAAATGTTTAGTGTTCTGTGAGAATATATAATATAACCACCTATAAGGATGCTGATTTAAGAAAATCTTGTTATGTTTGTTAAGCACCCATGAAGTCTCAGACAGTAGCAACACCTATTATGAATGATTTAAAGGCAGGTACACAAGGTTAAATAGAAGGAAGACACAAGAGTAAATTAGCGATCGGCGGGAGGAGGCCCCAGCGCGGCAGCTGCGGGATACGCGCTGGGGAGCTGGTGATGCGGAGCGCTGCGCGGTTCCGGGGCGCCGTGGCCTTGTGGCCACTGCTGGCCGCCCACGTGGTGACGGCATTCGAGCCCCTGAGCGTGGGCATCGCCATCGGAGCCGTGTCTGCCCTCACCGGCTACCTGTCCTACACTGACTTCTTTTGCCGCTTCGCCGAGTGCTGCCGCGAGAAGCCGCTCAACGCCTCGGCCCTCAGGCTGGATTTGGAGGAGAAGCTGTTTGGACAGCACCTGGCCACCGAAGTGATTCTCAAGGCGCTGACTGGCTTCAGGAACAACAAACATCCCAAGAAACCGCTGACTCTGTCCTTGCACGGCTGGGCTGGCACAGGACCAGCTGCAGAAATGGATCCGCGGGAATGTGAGTGCGTGTGCCAGCTCTGTCTTCATATTTGATGAGATGGATAAGCTGCACCCTGGGATCATTGACGCCATCAAGCCCTTTCTAGACTACTACGAGCAGGTGGATGGGATTTCTTACCGCAAAGCCATCTTCATCTTTCTCAGCAATGCAGGTGGGGACCTTATTACTAAGACAGCTCTGGACTTCTGGCGGGCAGGAAGAAAGAGGGAAGAAATCCAGCTGAAGGACCTGGAGCCTGTGCTGTCTGTTGGCGTCTTCAACAACAGGCACAGTGAGTGTGTGTGTGGGTCGGGGTGGGGGGGAGGCGTGGGCACCCTGCGCTCTGCCAGCAGGAACCATCTTCTGTCATAGAATCATTCTGGCCTGTGGTTTTGCTGAGGGAGCTTTCTCAGGGCATCACCAGGATGTCCAGCTGAGACTTAAGTTAGGCTTATTGGACATTTGACAAAAAGAGTCTCCTGATGGGTTGACATGAAGAATGTACCGTGGGCTGGCAGAGTGGCTCAAGTGGTAGAGTGCCTGCCTAGCAAGCATGAGGCCCCAAGTTCAAACAGCAGTACTGCCAAAGAAACAACAAAAAGAATGTACTATGGGCAGTGATCAGATGTGGGACATGATCAAGTGGCAGTGACAGCAGGAAATAGCTGTGTCTTGTCCTGCAGGTGGCCTGTGGCACAGTGGGCTGATAGACAGAAACCTCATTGACTACTTTATCCCCTTCCTGCCACTGGAGTACAGACATGTGAAGATGTGTGTGCGGGCAGAGATGCAGGCCCGAGGGGCTGCCGTTGATGAAGACATTGTCACCAAGGTGGCAGAAGAAATGACGTTTTTCCCCAAAGATGAGAAGATCTACTCTGACAAGGGCTGCAAGACTGTGCAGTCACGGCTGGATTTCCACTGAGCCATGGAGGCTCAGCACACACAGGCCTTGCCTGGTAGAAGCACTTTGAGACCTCTCGAGGTTTTGCACATTTGTACCTGTGAACTTTTGAGACCTAGAAGTTGCTATAAGAGTTGATTTTTAAAAAGATGTAGCATGACAGCAGCCCAACTCTTACCTGAAGCTGTAGGTGAACTTTTAAAATGCCCTCATGCTCACCAATACTAACCTTGACTCAAGTGCCTGGAAGCAGCTGTATACAAGGCCAAGGTTCTTGTGTGAACCATGGCACCCATGCCTTAGGAGCCACCACTGTGACTAAAGGGGCTGAAAGGTTCTGCTGCCATCTGGGGAGTGATGGATTTTTGCCTGCTGAAAGCATCCTTCTGCTCTGCTGTTCACTTTGCACAGAGCATTCACTGACTCGAAGTATCTTTAGTTGAAGGTAGCATGGGTAGGTGCTGATGGTGTCTGTATGGAGCATGTGGCCCTATGCTCTGGCACTCTCAGCCTAGGCTGTACTGTCAGCGTGAGGAGTGGCAGCTCCCTCTGAGGCCCCTGCAACAGACCAGGACAGACTGGTCCCTGGGGTCTGTACCTTGCTCTGGCCATGGAATTCCTTTGTCCATCCCCCACTTTGTATTATTGGTCCCAGCCTTCGTTGTATGGCTCTTGAGCACCAGTCACTACCAGATTTTCCCCAACCCTGTCAGGACTGGGCTTTGAGTTTAAATTTTCTGTTCCCATGGTAACACATTTGCCTGTTAAACTTGATGCAAGGGTCAAATACTACCTGCAGAACCACTTGGAATCCACAGGACGGGGTCCTTCCCCACTTCTGACGTGCTCAAAGTAAGTGTCAGCCTGCAGAGTGCATTGCCACAAGGTGGGCCTGCTGCACAGAGCTGCTGTGTTTGCAAGCATGAAATCATGCTTTTACTTCTGACTCAGGTGAGAAAGGGTAAGACATTTTAAAACCTAGGAAAGACACAAAATGGAATCATGGTTTCTTTTCTCAGGCTCCCTTAAACAGTATAGATTTTATTGTTAAACGCGTGGCAAAGTGTGCTCACAATTAGACACAAAACAAGGCCTCCTGAAACACGGCTGGTCCTGGGTGTCATCTTACTGTGACACCTGCATGGCAGCATCAGGCTGGAGTGCCCTTATCACTGGGGAACGAGACTTAGATTCCAGCCCTCGGGGATCGTTCTGATCGTTCTGAGACACGAACAGCGTGCAGCGTTTTTCATACATGTACACATGGAAATGTCTGATGGGGCAGCACCTTTGTCTTTAAAATGCCAAGGAGAGACTTGAACGTCTCAGGATGTATTCTCCCACTGGAGCTGTTACCTTTCTTCCGTAACCTTTTGGGTGTCTAGTCAAGAGGAGACCGAATTTTCTGTTTACGGTGATGAGTAAACTGAACTCCTGTCGGCCAAAAAAAAAGAGTAAATTAGCATTTATAGTGCATCTGTGATAACTACTGTATAAATGATAAACACAGGGACATTTTAATAAGAGCTAGAAATCAGGGGAAACTTTGTGGAAAATACTTTCACCTCATTTTCACATGTGATTGAGAAATATTGCACTGGAAAAAAGGAGACATTCCAGTCAAAAAGAGTATATTCAAAGCTTTGGAGGATGTTGTATAACACATTGTTAGGTCTGCAAGGATTTCAATATCATTAAAGCAGAGTGCACAGGTATGGAGATGATTTTGGCCAATCTCTATGTCACACTGACTACGAAGTCTTAAAATAGTCTTCAAGGATAGATGATGGTTCACAAAAACAGTGTTTACCTACAAATGAACCATAATTACAATATATTTGCTAGGCAACGCTAATAAGCAGATTCTGTGACTATTTGAGAGAGACAGATGCTGTGTGTGAATGTGTGTGTGTATGTGTGTTTATGTGCACGCACATAGCAGAGGAGGATCAGAAGTTAAAACAAATTACATTCCAAAATTATTTTACAAACAACTTGTAACAGTTTCACTAGGAATTTGTTTGCAGTCCAGGTCATAACATTATAAAACATAGCCAAAAATGTAACTATGACACTGCATAAACAAAAGAAAATAAAGGACAATGATTCCATTACTGACCCTGCATACTGGCATGCATCTCATTAATTAGAATAATTTAAAGTAGATTTAAGTATCCAACTGATGAAAGGAGTTTTTTAAAAGTTGGACTGAAGTTCTGCAATTTATCTTTCCTGGCAATGTTGCCTGTGGACAGTCATTAATCAGAAGGAAATTATTACTTCCTTATGAAATGCAGCTTCAATCTTTTTCCTCTTGAAGTTACCTGGAAATCTTTACCATGAAGAGTCATGATAGATCCTTTTCTAATCAAAAAATTTATCCTTCAAGTTTATCTCCTGAATCCCACTTCTCTTTATTCAGTCAGAATGTACCAACTGAAATTGAGTTTTCTTTCCATCTATCACATACATGTTTTGGTCGGTATTAAGAATTGTGAAAATTAAATTTAAAGGGGGTGGGAGGTTGCAGAGCTACATATAGGGTTGTTTAAACAAAACCACATCTTTAGCTGCCAGTTAAATGAACCAGATAATCTAAAAACTAAACTTTGAAAAGTTTACTCTATTTTGCACTGAAGTTCTTTGTTTTTCTTTTTTAAATAAAAGAATAATTGGGGCTTGGGGAAATGACCCATGCTTCAAATGAAATATTGCCTATTTTTTTAAAAATTTGGGATACAAGTATTATTTTCTTATTTTTAATTTAAATGTTTCCTTACTATTCTTTTTCAAAATAAGAAACCATATGGAAAGACTAAAGGTTACTAAAACATTGTCAACTTCTCACACTATACCAGGTCCAAAATAAAAGGACTTGTTCTACTGGCTACACATAGAGCTCATTATTAGTAAGTAGTAAGGCTACTGCATTATTTGACTTTAATTTCCATTTTTACTTGCCCTCTGTCTTTAACTCCACCCTTCTAACATTCTAAGTAACATATGGAAAGTATGCTCATCAAATTTATAAGTAATAAAAAGCCAGGAGTAACAACACACATTGTTGATAAAGAATCAAGATTTAGAAAAATCCATGAGGGGCTTGAACAATGGGCCAAATGAAATTTAGAATAATTAAACACAAGATCTCATGCATAGGTTCAAAAATCAATCTTGCAAGTTTAGTGACAGTAAGTATATAACAGACGGGAATTTTAATTACTAAATTCAGTATGTATGGTATGATTCCAAAAGAAATCTATTGGCATTTTATCAGGTTCTGCTAAATATATGACACTGGGAATGAGGAGGTGGATAACACAGTACTAAATTCAGCTCTAGGAACCCTAATTATAGTATATTTGAGAAATACTTGATAAAAGAATTTGAATCCAAATTCTAAGAGAATTTGTTCCAGGGACAAGACAATTCAACCAAAGACAAGACTGGGGGTCAAACAGTAGCTATCTTCAAGCAGTTATAATAGAATTCAGTTTATTAAGCATAGACCTGTAAGGGGAGAACTAAGTTTAGTGAGTTTCAGTGAGGCAGATTTTAGCTCAACAAAAAAGGATTTCTTTGTCACTAGACAAATCATAAGCCAAACATGAAATGGGCTACTTTGGAGGCCTCTACCCCTCACTGGTGGTATTCAAGCCCAGGCTGGGCAACCCCTGCTAGGGTAAAGTCAAGCAAATGTTACTGTAATGATCCAGGCATTATGTGGAATACTGGGCTGGATAATCTATAGTACAGACTTTTTAGACAAATTCAGCTATCACACAAGGGCCTCTTTAAGATAGCTCATCTGGGATCCCACAAAGTACAAGATGCCTTACAGCTGTCAAAAATTATAGCTCTGAATGTGGTAAAACTGACAGGATGCTAATATTTTAGTTGTTCTACATGGGATCTTAGCCAAAAGGTCAAGAAGCAATATATTTTAGCAGTGCGCAGTGGCCTAAGAGAAGGACCATTATTTTATTATGAGACCCTTCTTCCAACTGTGTGAGATCATCTTTGTGTTTCCAAGAATATTGCCCAGACCCTGGGGACTGTAGGGTGAAGTAATGCCATACTTGGGCCTTTTAGAAAAAGGTCCTGAACAAGATCCCTAAACAAAAATCTAAGGGCCTTTTAGTCAAAGCAAAGAATACAAAGACCTGTAAAGACAGAAGTTTCAGAGATTAAATTGAGTTGAGAATGCATTTACCTAAAAGGAGTTTAGATCATGTGTCTTTATGCTTTCTATCTTGATACATTCAATAAAAGAAACAAACCCACCCTGGTGCCACGCTTCACTTTACATTCTATCTTATAATATAGGTTTGGGTAGGGACAATGCTATAAAACCTAGAGTCCACATTTCCTCAGATTTTGTTTGAGGGTACTTTTCTAATTCTGTGAAAATTCTCTCTCCTTCCCTCCCCTTCTCCCTTTCTCTTCTCTCTTCTCCTCTCTCTTCTCTCTCTCTCTCTCTTCCCCCCCTCCTCTCTCCTTTCTCTCTTGTTATTCATTGCTGTTTCTGATACTCGATGCCATGACCACTCTCAAAACCACAGAATTAATTGCCAGAAGTGTGAAAATATATCTCCCTCAAACCATAAGGGAAATGATTAAAAGAAAAAGAAAAGCATTCTATATTTGGGGGGGGGTCTCTACTACCAGAAGGTGGGAAGAGAATGCTATTTATTTAACTCAAGGAAATAAGAAGTTTCTTCTAATCAGCTGTGCCCAACAACATGTCAAGAATGCCTTGAAGAGTTCAGGATGTATTCATCTATTCACCCCTAGAAGAAAGTGACTGAAGTAAAAAATAAACTTCATGTGTACCTTTCTCTCTAATTCTCTTAGACATGTTTAAGCCCCAAAAGCCACTATCACATCTGAGCCAAATGGTTTTGCTAAGGTTATCATTGTCACCATCAATAGATTTACTCTTCAACCCTAAAAACAAAACATACACAAATGAAACTGCTTTAGCTGACTTGGGTGGATTTACACAGGTGAAAAGAAGGAAGCCTGCTTTTT